TGAGTTTTATAAAGCCCTGATCGAGACTTTAACGAATGAGCATGCAAAAAATCTTGCTAAATCCAACAAAGCAGTTGAAAATTCCGAGAAAACAGTTCGGGAAATGACCAAAAAACACAAAAAACTAATTTCTGATGTTACAAAGTTCATGGAAGAATTTTGGACCTCTTCGGATCGAAATACTGAAGCTGCAAACAATGTTATAGCATGTCTCGGAACCACCCTTCAACTTGAAAAGGAAGCTCTTTCTAAGGTTCGTTCCGCCATCAAGGTTGACAATGTTGAGATAAGTGCTTCGATAGTGTCCAAGATTGAGAAGTTGCAGGAGGACCTTGCTGCAGAAAACGATCTTATGGATCAACTGGCAGTAAAGACTGAGAAAGCCAAGACACTTTCTCTCAAGCTCAACTATACCAACCGTCGATTCGATGATTTGGAATATGAATGGCCAATTGTCAAAAGATGCATTTCAGATGTCAATCAATTTTTTAGAAGACTTGTTGAAACTCATGACTCTATCCTTACCATTTCGGTTCGCCAGCACCTCACAGATAAACTCCAACCTGTTTTTTGTTGTTTTAAATCAAATTGAGGGTGTTTCGGGAAGTAGTGCTCCTCCAAAACAAGGGGGGAACAAGAGGTTAAAGAAAAAGAACAATCAATCCCTCAGGAGCCCACAGTTAAGAAACCAACTGATGAGAAATCCACTGATGATCAATATGAAGGCAAACCAAAGGTAGATCTGAAGGTTAATGAAGCTTCGAGATTTAAAGGAAAAGAAAAACGGGTGTTTGATGATGATGAGGAGGAGGAAGTACTCTCAGATGGCGAAAAGTTAGTTCGTAAGACAATAGATAGGGAGCTTGAGGATCTGTTGCGAGTCACGAAGGATTTAGATGAGAAAGAAGCTGAAGAGCGACTTGCGAAAGTAATTCTTGAAACTAAGAAAATGCTTTTCCCTCCTTGGTCTTTTGAAAGAATTCAGAGAGAAGCGATAGATGATCCGAGTGTTCACTGGTTAGAACCTACGGTATCATTTGAACTGAACAACGCAACTTGGCTTTCCACTCACTCCGAAAGCATTCTTATTCCGAGGCTTTGAACATATTGAGAAAGCACCTCTTTCGGACTACGATGTTAATAACATGTTTTTCTCGTCCTATCTCAAGCACGGCCAGCCTCAGTATGAGATATAGTCTACAGAAGCTTGTAGTTGTTAAAGTATATGCTCATTTTCCTGTTGAACACTTCACCAACATCGAGTTTAAAGGATTTGGGGGAAAAAGTCGTGTTGGGTTTGATTTCACGCTTGCAGATCTGCCGTTCATGAATCCGAATGACTGGATTTTCATGTTTCTGATTTTATCAAAAGATGAAGCGAGGTTCGAGCCTATCGTCTCCCATGTTAAAAGTATGTTGATCTGCTATATTCATGAGGTTTCCAAACTAGATGTTGACATAGCTGTTGTATTAAAGAAAAAGCATGTCGTGGATCCTAAGGAAGAGGCGAAGGATTTTCAGAAGAGGAAGTTGGGTAAAATTAAGAAGGCTGATTGGAGTGTTGTATTTCAAAGGAGAAGTGGTGATAAAGTTCATAAGAGTTTGTTCTTTTTGTTAGACAAACATTTGTACTCTTCTACTGCACTGAATCACATCATGGACTTGACAGTGGCATGCAAACACAACAATGATGAAGATCTGAAGTGTTTCAATGATATGATCAGATGGTATCTCATGATTCGAAACTCTCTTCTGAATCTGATGACCAAGCTATTTAAAGTTCAGAAGGTTTAGAGATGAAGAATCTCCTTTCTTTAATTGACACAAAGGGGGAGATTGTTGGGTTAAAAAGTGTTGTGTCAATTATTTTGTACTAGAATAGTCTTTATTATTAACGGATTGGGCCTGTCCATCCGTATTTATGGTGCTAGGGTTAGACTATTTAAGGTGCATGCATGTATCTGTTTAGGGTTAACAAGTTGTATTGCCCTACGTAATCTTTACAGATAAGTTCTTGTTGAACTCTTCTAGGGCTATTCAATCTAAGCATTCGGCACTATTTGATCTTCATTGTGCTTATTTGTTTGGTTGATTACACTTGTTAGAATCTATCGATCTATTATTTATTATTTCAACAGGTTGAAAACCCTATGTGCTCACCAAGCTGCCAAGCCTGACCCACTCTGTTTCTTGTATCACAAGTAAGGACACGAGAGCACAAGTATGATGATTGATGATAGATTTATGGATTATAGGCCAGTAGAATAACAGATGTTTGTAAGGCCTGTATTATTTCCGTTTATGATTATGTATTGTATTGACGATGACATCCCAACGTTTTTAATATAATAAAATACATTTCTTCAGGAAATGTTTTGATAATATAATTATCATGTTTTTGGAAACAAATTCCGCAATATTATTCTTTAAAAATGATACTCTAATTTTAAATAAGCATAAATACATCGGTCTTTTCTGGCCGTGAAATTGGGGATGTCACAACTTCCAACCTCGCAAGAGGAACCAAAGCCTTCAAAGGTTGTATTTTTTTTCTTCCCATGGTTGTGTTAATCTTTCCATGTTTTCAAAATGATACTTAATGGTTAGAAATAGATTTAAATTTATTCACAAATTTAAATCTTCCGTTGCCATTTTTACCATTTTAGAAACTGGATTTTTGAATAAAGCCCAATACTTCCTTCTTTTCCTCAAAAATTCTATAGGAAAGTTGTTTGATGCTGATTTTCGATCCGGGAAAAGATAGCCACCAACCATCACAACTAACAACAAAAAGCAAAACGAAGAAACTGATGTATGACTCACGTCAAAGAGTAAATTCCACGCCGGCCGCGTGACTTTCCTGCATGTGGATTTCGGGCTTTTTCATCAATTGGGCTCCTGCACTTATCTTTTGTCCTAGTTATTCAATCACCCATTTTCTTCCATTGTTAATTAAGCCCGAATATGCAAACATATAGTCAGTAAATATCCATCTTCTAATCCACCAAGTCCAAGTTTTTTTCATATAATCTTCATAGTAAGCTCCAATGACATTAGTATTCAATCCAACTCTCTCCGATAGGTCCCCAACAATTCTAATCACCCGTCCGTGCTTCATTTGTCTTCCGAATCTCCCCCATGCTTTGCTCCATTTTTCTAAATATCCACTATTCAGCTAAAAAACTAGAAAGTACCCGGAATAGATAATAACAAAAGGAAAAAAATGCATGAAGTTTAACTAAAAATAAAATAAAATATGCTAAAATAAACTATATAAAGAAGTGAATAATATGAACCCATCACAACGTTAACTGAATTTCTTATTTCAAAAGGTATAAACGTAAGTTATCTACTCCATATACACCACAACAAAATGGTGTGGTTGAGAGGCGTAATAGAATTATTGTAGAAGTTGCTCGTTTAATTTTAAACTTTGCCCACTTATCATTATCCTTCTGGGGTGAAGCAATCTCTACATTGTACTTTCTCCAAAAATGAATCATCATCAACAAACACCTCGACAAAACTCCATACGAAGGTATGAACAATTGCAAACCTAATGTCAAATTCTTTAGAGATATTAAATGTAGGTGTTTTGGAAAGAACAAGAAAGATCACTTGACAAAGTTCAAACCCAAAGCCTATGAAGCCATTCTCCTTGGATATTCAACCAACACGCTAGCCTATCGAGTGCTTAATCGTCATGCTAGAATCATTAAGGAAAGTTTTAATGTTAAATTCGATGATCATTGAACAAGACCATCGAACAAGCCTTTGACGAATCAGATTGGATCATAGCAATTCGATAAAAATTGGTAGTGTTTGAGAGAAACAAATTTTGGTCCTTAGTTCCTAAACCAAGAAAATAAAAAGTAGTCAGAATTAGGTGGGTATTCAGAAACAAAGTTGGTGACTCTGGAGCCATCATTCTTAACAAGGAAAGATTTGTGACTCATGGTTTTCGCCAACTTGAAGGCATCAAGTATGAAGAGACCTATGCACATGTTGCTCGATTGGAAGGGATACATATCTTTCTTGCGTATATTGCTCATAAAAATATTAATGTGTATCAAATGGATGTCAAAAGCGTCTTTCTCAATGGTGAACTTAAAGAAAAGGCATATCTACGAAAAACTCCAGATTTCATGAATCCAGATTTTCCACATTACTGCTATGAATAAGCGTGTATGTGTTTTAAAACAAGCCCTGATAGCTCGGTATGAAACGTTATCCATTTTTACTGACTCTGGATTCAAACGAGGCATTGTTTATCCCACCTTCTTCAAGAGATCAAATAAAAAGCATTTAATGCTCATGCAAGTGTATGTTAATGACATAGTTTTCCGATCGACGAACGAAACAATGGTAGCAAACTTCACAGAGTTAATAACCATCAAATTCAAAATGAGCATGAATGGAGAATTAAGCTTCTTTCTAAGACTTAAAGTAAACCTGATAGTATTTTCATTCATAAAGAAAGATATACTAGCGATTTGTGCAAACTATAGGGACCAAATTATAACTTACTCTAAAAATTATAAAAATAAAATAAAACCTTGAAATTTTTTGGTTCTATTTTAAGTTAATTGACATTAAACATTGTTCAAGAAAAAAGATGTGTATTTCTTTTGAAGGAAAAACTAATAATTGGTAAACGAAGACTTTTAATAAATATTAGTACAACTGTTATATGGTTCTAAATGGCTTTTGTATTGGATTAATTCGTTATTAAAAAGAGTTGTTGGGGATCCTTTGACAACTCGTTTTAGCATGTATCAAATTTCAAATGACACAAAATAACAATATTTTAACAATTTTAAAGATAAGCTTGCGTTTTTGTCTGTTCTCATGGCTAGAAGTCAACGAATTATAACAAGTTGGTGTTGATTCCTTTGACTATATATAAATATTACTACTGGTAGAATAAACATGGTTGCTTCCACTACTATACCTGTATAAATTAGATACACGACTTGCCAAAGTCTTCAGAATGCAGATCCATGGAATCCGTGAAGTTAGAGCTCATCCTCCACTCTGCACAGGGCCTCAACAACGTCAAAAAGATGGGCACCATGGACCCATACGCCGTCATTTGGATAGCCGGAAACAACTCTGATTCCAAAGTTAAAACAAATACAGCGAAGAACAGCGGCTCAAATCCAGTCTGGGATGCCCACGTTGAATTCAACATAGAACACGATGCCTCCATGCAGGAAAACCTCATCCTCGTCTGCGAGATCAAGCATAGTGGAACAGTGTTGGACAGAAACATTGGCAAAGTCCAAGTTCCTCTCAAGCATCTCCTTTCTGTAGATGCTTCTGAAGAAAAGGTCAGTTATCCAGTGATGACTTCGTCTGGTGGAGTGGAGGGGACAATCATCCTTTCCTATACAGTAAAAAACTTACAGGAAAGTAACGCAGGCAGCTCTAGTTCTACTGATGAGGAGCCCTCCGATCCTTTACCAGAGGAGCCCTCGGATTCTGTCCCAAATGAGACTCATCAGACTAAAAATCGCAAAAACCGTCTGATAAAGAATGTACTGCATGCATCAACGGCCATGGCAAACTCTCTAGCCATCGTCAGTAGTGCGTTGACCCTCAGCGGCGACCGAGATTAGGTGGTTTTAAGTACGCGCGTTGACTCTCACCACCGCACGTATCTGTATGTTATTAAGGACATACGTTGTCTATTATGTTTATTTATGTATGGATTATGATGTGTATGCAATTATGGATGTACATTTCTGTTGTATACTTATGCATTCATTTACGTATAAAAAGAGCGCATTTGTATGTTTCGAACAATAATAATAAATTAATTAAGGTACAAATGTGAATACATCCGTTTAGTACGATGGATACGGAATACATACCTATGATTCATCGGAAATGCCTAATAAAGTCCACCAGTGAAATTCCATTTCAAAAAGGAATCATAAGAAAAATCTTAATGTTTTAAGAAATTATTAAAGAAAAATTTAATAAAAAAGTCCATGAAACTATCTAATTTATTCACTTTAGTTTTTTTAATCTTTTAAGTAAACAACCTATGTGGCATGTCAAGTTGAACATTTTTGCTGACATTGCGCGTCACCTCAGTTTGTTATGTTGAATTTAGTATTTTTAACATTTTCAAGTAAACTGCCTATTTCACACGCAAAGTTGGAATTTTTGCCAACGTAAGGATTTTTACATGGCATCTGTGTGACATGTCAGTATGTTATCTTGTTATGTTGAATTGAAAAATGAAGGTACACTGTGCAAGAAAAGTGAGCAACAAGAATTGAACTTGTGTGCTAGTATAGAAAGGGTCACAACCATAACCACCAAGCTAGATATTGTGTCATGTTCTTACCTCTAATTTCATTTATAGATATTGATAACTGGTGGTTGTCGAGGACAACAAAATAAATACCCTAAATATTACACACTAAAATAGTGTATAGTGGTAAAGGGATCGTATCCACGAAGATTGGTTCAATTTAAGTCTCTATGTAATTCACTTGTTCAAGTACTTGTAAAACAAAAGTGAAAGTAAAATGGAGAGGGGTTTAATTCTTTTGGATTGTTTAACAAAATTAAAACTAGCTAGAATGTAAATATAACAAGTAAACAAGTAAAAGATTTGATTAAAATCAATGAAGTGGAATTGGTTAATTTTGGGATACACCACATGGATGACATAGTTGACTTATCATTAGACTAAAAGGAATAACACTTGTGAATTGGTTTAACTTGGCTATAGCAATTCACAAGCACAAATTACCTCAACTCTTCTTAGATATTAAAATGGTTAGAGGAGCTCTAACACATTCCCTTAATTAAAGTTACAAAATCAATGAAGCATATAATCTTATGAAAATCAATTAGCTTTGAGTTCTAAGAGTTACCAAGTCCATAAGATAATCAAATGCTTACATTATCATTATGGGTCATTATGGAGGAAACATTCCCATGGTTTAAATGAAATGAAAACAAACATAGAAACCATTTGTTGCTTACCAATCTAAAAGTCCATTACTTAACCAAGAAATTGATCAACAAAAATATATGTTTATTCTTCTAAGCTCATGATCAAAGATAAACAAACATAAAAAGATGTTTAACTAGAGAACATTTCCATAAACTTCAAACACAAGGTAATAATAGTCTTCAAAACAACCAATCATTCATGGGATTAAACCCTAATCAACCAAATGAGAATTTAGTCAAGCATGGCCAAGATAAAAGAAATACAAGGTAGTTTAGAAATACCAAACATTGTTCTAAGTGCAAGATGGAAAGAAATAACACTAGTCTTCAAAATCTTCAAATCTTCCAAAACCTTCTTGGGAGAAAAATGAGTGGTTCCTCCAAGTGTTTATGTGAAGAATGCCTCCAATCTCCAGCAAAAGAGGTGTTTATCCCGGATTCAAAAGTTGAACAAAAGCCATCCACCAACCTTCCTAAAATAGAGTCAACAAGTCAAACCCCGGAATCACCTCGGTACCATTCACGCGGACCGCATATGGATCCACGCGGACCGCGTGGGTCTCGCTGATTGCATGCTTTGGCCCATTAAAAATACAATCCGGCCCAATCTTCTAATTTATGCTCCAGCCCACATGCACAACTCTTGAGAGCCCAATTGTGCTATTCCAAAACCTCCAATGATGATCCAACGCTCCTTCAATCCTCCATAGCTCGAGTCCTTGTCCAAAGATTAAGCCCAACGCGCTTCTTGCTTATATTGACACCGAGCCCAATTGCACCACCTCAAGTTCACAAGCAATCCACAAGCCTCCAATTGTCCCGTACTCCTTCCATACCTCCAGTAACGAATAGTCTTCAGTAAATCCTACAAATAAGCTCAAAAGACTGGAAAGTACCCGGTAAAGGAGAAAAAAAAGTGAAAATATGCATGAAGATTAACTAAAATGAGATGGAATGTGCTAAAATAAACAATAAAAAGAAGTAAATAAAATGAATCTATCAAATCATCCCAAGCTTAAACCTTACTTGTCCTCAAGTAAGACAAGACTAAAATGAACTTGGGATGAACTATCCTAAAAAATAAAAAGGAATGAACAACTTAGGTAGAAATTCACAACACGCCCTTAAAATAAAAACATATAATTACCTTGTGTTTGAAGTTTATGGTTGTGTTTACGGACGTGAACAGATTTACGGTTGTGTTTGAAATTCACAATGTTTGGTATTTCTAGCAAGGGATACATGTTGATCAAGCCTTTGTTATCTTTCTAGCAAGGGATACATGTTGATCAAGATGCAAAACTAGCATGCATACTTCACTAGTATGGTTTATGTGAGATTGTTTCGTGGTCCGATCTAGCCCACTAGCCAAAAGAAAGTGTCCCTCGGTTAGAATGTTCCTCACTCCTCACAACTTCAACCCCACGTCAACAAATAAAACCTAGAAAAAGATAACTCGGGCCAAAAATGTCAAGGAACGAGCTATGTACAAAAGTTGGCAAACTACAATCATCTAGAAGAGTAAATGCTTCCACCAAAATAAGATCCAAGTAGAGCAAAGATTCGAGCACACGATGAGTGAAGGGCGCCATCGTGGTTGCCAACAAAAATGATATCTAACTAGAAAAACATCAAACTAGAAACAAATTACATGAGCTAAAATCCGAAAAAAGGCTAAACATCTACAAAAGCAAACAAATGGATACAATTCCGTGGCCCGGCCTTTTTTTTTATTTTTTTTTATTTTTTTATTTCACTCGAAAACCCTAAGGACATGTTACAAATACAAAAACTTAAGACACAAAGAGGAAAACCTAAAAAAAAAATAACTACATTCGCATTTTATGATTGCGATAATATCCGACTTTTCAAAACCATTTTTTTTAACTAGACATCTAAAGACTAGAACCAACAAACATAAGGTTCAAATTTCACGAAAGATCAATGTTGGGTCTAAATTATGGTTTATACTTTGCTTTTCTAGACAATTGTATTTTTATGTCTTGGACCGTAAACAGCTTGGTGTTTACGGCTGTATATGAGTTTACGGCTGTGTTTACGGACGTGAACAGATTTACGGTTGTAAACCCATTCACGACCCATGTCTACTATATATAGGGTGAGGAGTGGTAGGTGAGGCTAGAGAAGTGTAGGAGTGTAAGGCTAGAGAAGATGAGCATGTTCTAGAGAGAGAAACTAGAGAGAAGAATAGTGTGTGTGAGAGAATCTTGTGTAAGGAGCATCATTCATATCTTCAATACATTCAAGATTCAAGTTATTCCTCTTTTCCTTCTCTTCTATTAGATCTGGCATCATCCGTTTGATTGGGATTCCGCACCATCAAACGGATCTGATTGATACACAAGCAGATTTGGGACTTACAAGTGGTATCAGAGCTTGGTTTGTATCAATCATTTTTGTCAGATCTGGAGCTTATTTGATCTTATTTTTGAAGGATTCATGCGTTTTTGGATAGATCTTGACAAAATAAGGGGGGTTTGTTCTTTGTGTTTTTCATAAAAACGAGTTTTTGATCGAGTTTTGGAGCAAAAATGGTGAAAAACGTCGTTTTTTTGCGATCTGAAGCAGTGTTTACGGTCGTCGGAGTTTCCAGCCGGAGTTTACGGTCGTCGTTGCGGCTCGGACGTTTGCGGCTCGGCTTGGACGGCTTGGTGGACGACTAGGGAATTCGGCTCAGCAGCTTCAAGCTCTTCCTGCACGTATCTTATTAAAAAAAAGGGAAGCGAAATTGAGAGTGTCGGGGATCAAACCCGGGTCCCTTGAATAATCAGCCACACGCCTTAACCAACTCATCTAGTTTGCTAGATGATAAATCCCTTCGCTTCTTAATTCAAATATCGTATCTGCACTTCTTCATTTTCGCAAATTTGTCACTTTTAGCCCAAAATTCAAATTTCTTTTATTTTTAAATTCTATTTTCTTCCAAAAATTTTAGCTTTTATTTTTTAAATTTCTAAATTGACTTTTTCCTTAAATTTTGACTTTGACTTTCAAGTTTGACCTTTGACTTTAAACTTTGACTTTCTCGTTTAACCTTCAAATTTTCAAATTTAGCTTTTCGGTTTGACTTTTCAGTTTGACTTTTAAGTTTGACTTTTTAAATTTGACTTTTAAGGTTGACTTTTGAGTTTTTAGTCAAAGGGGATATTTTTAAAAAACAATGAGTTCTTCAAACACCAAAGTCAATGAAATTTCTTGTTCTCAAACATGCATTGATAATGTTAAAAATCTTCTTGAGCATATAGAATTATTACGTAGAGAGAACGAGGACTTGAGATATGAAGGGTATCAACTTAGGAAAGGACAGAAACCCCTGAAGGCTGAATTAGAAGCAAAAACCAAAGACTTTAGAAAACTTCAGGAAGAGTATAGTACTAAGAGTGCACATTATAAATATGTAACTGAACAACTTGCTGAGGTAACTGTTGAGCTTGACACATTGAAAAACAAATTTGAAAATGCAGATTTTACTTTTAGAAAATTTGATGTGTCAAGTGAAGTAGTTGCATCCATGATAGAAACTAATTTGCAATTCAAAAATAATCAGTCAAAGGGTTTAGGATATGACAAAGTGCCTCCTCCTTATAATCATAATTATCAGTTTAAGCCTTTGACAAAAGAGGAA